CACTGGGAGCTGTTTCACCTTAGACACCTTCTTATCACCTGTCCTGAGATCTCTCGGGGTCTTGGCCTCCCACACGGACATCTGACCGTCAGCGCCCTGACCCTGCCCTCTCCTGCCATCCTGACAGGGCCTTCTGGGTGGCGTCTGTCCCCTGAGCAGATGAAGAGAGCTGTGTGTCTCTCCTGCACAGCGACCTCTGAGGTCACTTTTCTGGCCTGGCTCCCCTGCTCTGTGGGATGCTGGGGCGTTTTGGTCCCTCAGGCTGTTGCAGCCAAACATGAGTTCTGGAGCCTGTGTGTGGGGCAAGGGCCTGGGGGTTCAGAGAGTCTCTCTGCTGTCCTGGGGTTTCTCTCATTCCACGGGGTCTTTTCTGGCATCCACCCCACGTCCCGGCTACCTGGTCATAGCAGCGGGGCTTTCCCACTGTGTACTCTGCCCCCTCTGATCCCCCTGGGCACAGGGAATATGTCCTGAAGAGACCCAGGAGCCTGCCCTTTCCTCACATCCTCTCCTTTGGAGACCCTTTCCCTGGCTCTCTGGTATCCAGAGTCTGCTTTTCCCTTCTCCCTCCTGACTGGGTTTCCTGAGTCTCAGGCTGGCTCAGGGCTCAGTCCCTGGCAGCCCCCAGACACCCAGGGCAGCCCGTCCACCTCCTACCTCACTCTGGGTCTGGATTCCTGAGCAGCAGCCCCGAGGGCACTGGGTCCGTCTAAAGTCTCCCAAGAGGTCCCCCCCTCGGACCCCTTGTTCCTGATTCCCCAGGAGATGGAACCAAAGTAACCCAAGAGCAACGCTGCTCTGACAAGAACCCAGACTGAGGAGGCCAGAACAGAAGAACGCTTAGAGACCCAGCCTTCCTCTGGCAGATGTAGAGACAGACAGACAGACAGAGAGGAGACAGACAAATGTGGCTTAGGAGGTCATTCTATACAGTCCCTTCCCCCTGGGTCAGAGGTGAAGGGGTCGTAGTGACCTGCTGAGGCAGGCAAGGGTCTGACAGGGAGGACAGAGGTCCTTGCTCAGGCCTGGGATCCAGGGAGAAAACCTGACCACAAGTTGAGACAAGACGTAGAAACAAACAAAAACAGCAGAATTTGTCCCAAGAGTGGGGAAGGCGAAGGGAGAAGAGACTCACCTAGGACGGTCAGCCGGGTCCCTCCTCCGAATAAGCCACACTGTGACACAGGCTCATACAAAAACCCTCCCTGGGACGCCCCTACCCCCAGCCCCCAGTGCAGCTGTGAAGGAGGAAGCTGGGGCCACTGACCCTGGTGGCATCTACTCGTGAGGGAGTCCACATGGCCCCCCCACTCAGCCCACAGAGAAAAGAGGACCGGTGACATCCTGTGACCTGCAGCAGTTTCCCTGGAAATCCATGCTTCTGGAGGACATTGGGATCTTGGATTTGGTTTTTGTGCCAACCATCAGTCAGGTCCAGGATTGAATTGATTAGAGGACATCAGTGTCACTAAGGAGTGAATTTCCACAGATGGGATAGGTGGGCTCTTCTCTGTAAAGTTGAACCCCAACCCATGGTTCCACTTTTGGTAACACCATGGGATGGTGCCGAGGGTGCCCCTCTCCTCCCACGGAGAGGCTGGTTGCAGTGTTCTGAGAACCTTGGTGGGTTCCAGCCCCACCTTCTGGAGTAGTTCTAATTGGCTAGGCCTGGTCAGTGAGGCCTGGCTGGTCCCAGTATGAAATGCCAGCCACATGTGTTAGGGTAACCCTGGAAGCATCCCCTGCGGCACTGAATGTGGTGTCATGGTAGGTGGGACAACTGGGGTGGTGGCTGCCATTGTCTTTTTCAAATGGGGGACATGAGGGAACCTCCAGAATGTGGTCTCCAAATACCGCCTCTCACTAAGGGATGGGATATCAGTCGGGGATCCGAGGACGGGCAAGAAATACATAGAAGACAAAGAAGAAAGGGACATGATAAGCTGGACCGTGTTATCTTCTGACTAATCAGGAGCCATTTAATCCTCTGGGGCCATGTGAGAAGTCTGATGCCACTTGGGGTGACTCTCCCTGCGAAAATATTCATCATTGTTGGCCACCTGTTATCATCAAATATAATGGCAGTGGCTTCCAAAACATTAGATGACTCGAATCCTAGAGTTCACCATGAGAGAATACATGGATTCTTCACCCTGGAAGGATGGCTGGGTCCTGGATCATCTGTGTGCAAAGTGTCTCCTTCCTAGAGCATGAAGCTCACTCCTGGGTGAACAGAGCCCAGCTGTAGACCCCTGGCTTCAAAGACACTCTGCAGCGCTCGTGAGAAGGTCGTGAACTGAAGCCTCAACCCTCTGCCTTCCTTCCCATCTGAGGGATGTAGCTATTGACCATCCTGTGCACCTAACATTACTACAAGAGTGGCAATGTGACATGGGTGACTTTGCTGGTAGCAGCCCCATGTCCTTGAAAGCTATTTTGCAATGTCTATTCTGAGTCCAGTTATGTCCCTCCAAGCTCTGACCATTTTGCAGAAAAGAACAAAACAAAACAAAAACAGAAGTAGATGATAGTCCTGGGTTCTTGTTGTGCGAGGTGTGGCTTTATTCCAACCATGGGAAGGTCCCCAGATAGCTCTCAGTTCCTGCAGCTCCTGCCTTTCCAGGAAGCACTAGAGTAATTTGGAGATATTCACCAGTGATAAGCAGCCTAACAGCACATACACCCATCACCAGTTCATGCCATATTGAATTCTCAAATAAACAACCAAAAACCCCAAAATAACCACGGCACCAACACATAACTAAGTCAGTATGCTTCTGGCATTTGTGAGGCATTTGAGGAGCCCGTGATTATTTCTTGGTATTAGGAAATTAGTGATAATTTCTTTTTAGGTTTGGTAATAATATTGTAGTATTTTTTAAGTCCATATGTTTCCAGCATAGAAATGGGATATTTACAGCTGAAAAGATGTGATTTCTGGTATTTGTTAGTAAGTATTGTGTAATGTGGGGGTTATTCTGCCATGTGTAGGTCAGTAATGTCTGTGAATTGCTTACTTGGGGGACTGGGTGATGGGAACTTGGGGGCATCATTATTCCTCTGTCTCCTTATGTTTGTGTTCAAAGTTTTCCATAATGGAAACTTACCACACAGTGAAAGGAGGTCACGCAGCTGCTGGGGATGGCTTTATACGCAGCTGCTGGGGATGGCTTTATACCCAGCAGGGCTATGGATCTGGCCCTTGGTGGTCTCAGTTTTCCCCTCCATGAAATGGGCTCAGACAGGTGCTGTGGCAACTAGAACCCTCAAGTGTTCTTCTAATGAGAGGCTGGGGTTTGGATCAGGTGTGGCTGTGATCAAGCTGTAAGGGGCCCTTTCTTTGCCTCATTGTGACTGTAGAGCTTCCTGTCTTTGCAGGCTCTGTCCCTGGCCTGTCAGGACTAGCCAGCAGGTCTGGTGAAGGCAGCTGCCACATGCCTGATGTGCTGGAGGCAGAGACAAGGGGTCTGAGAGTACCCAGGCACTGAGGACTCACCAAGACAGCTGGTGTCTCCACACCCAGGAGGCCAACATCATCTGCTGCCAGAGACACTGGGATGAGTTGAGAAGTCTCTGAGATGAGGCAGCAGGTGTACATGGGATTGGGTAGGGAGGCTGCACCGTCACGAGCTAGGGGTAGGGAGAGGGTGCTCCGCAGCGGAAAGAGAGTTTGTGGGATCTGACTCCTAACGGATGCCAGGCCTTGCCTGGAGCTGTCAGCCCACGTTCACTCAGCTCTTATCTAGCCTGACCAAGCCCTGAAGCTCATCCTGAATTCGACTCTGACATAGCCTCCTTCAGGCAATCAATAGATGCGGAGCTTGGATTGGTGGCTTTTCTCATGTTCTCTCAATTTCCCCACATCCTCCTGCTCCTGCAGGCTGACCATCATCAAGATCCATCCACAAACCAGTCAGAAACTAACTCTACCTGGGCCTGACTTAGTAGTTCACACCCTTCATGCTTGACGTCCAGCCCCACGCTAGTGTTAACCTTGAGCCTGATCCCCAATCCACAGCCATGTGATCACACACCTGTAATATCTTGTGCATCAACCTCACCCCATATTCCCCAAACTAGTTCCAGGAAGCGCTGGTATCTTTCAGAGTATTTTGGGTCTTCTAAAGGTGGAGAAGGAGATCACCATGCTTTTGGATATGCTATGGTTCATCATATTAAACTGGTTCCCTAGTTCAGGATTTGTCAGTGTGTTTCCTCAGCCAGTGTGCATTGTGGAAGCCTTACAAAGACACCTGCATGATTCCTCTCCCAATGTTTTTACGAGTTCGCAATGGCGGCACAGTTATTTACCACTCACCCAGTAAACACTCTCCTGACTGGTTCCTCGTATGCAATGGGGAATTTTGGCTTCTGTTCCTGCTGGTACCGTGGTCTTGAGTCAAAGGTGTCCTTTTTCCATTATTGCTCCCTCTAACCCACATCTGGTCTCCGGGGATCCCCTTCATTTCTCCTGAATCTCCCCACAGGGCCCCAGCAAACCTCCCACTGGGCCCCTGTCCCTTCCCAGTTGGGCAAAGACTGCAGGACAGTTTTCTGCCCTGGATTGCAGTTCCCACTGGCACAGGGAGCTCACCCGGTTCCCTGGCAGGTTGGGTGGGGTGTGGGATGATGGTGACATGGGATCTCACCTGGAACTGCCCCCTGTCCCTGAGCGGGGACCCTTCAGCCCAGACACATGACCAGATACAGATGGCACATTAGAAATGCTGGGTTTTACATGATCAGGTCTTTGTTGAGAAGTAAAATTGAGGAAGGTGTGGGACTGGTCTGAACTGATGCCAGGCTGGTGGCTCAGGGGTACAGTGGAGAGTTGGGGGAGGGGTGACTGGGAGAGGAAGGACCCTTTGGGGAGATGACTCGGGGAGGCTGTGAGCCTCCTCTCCTTTGGTAACTTTGACACTGGATGCAGAATTCCCTGTACCCCACACTAAGATCCCCGGGAAGACTAGGAATTTAAGAAAAAATGAGATGAAACAAGATTTCTGATTGTCAATGAGAATATTTATTAAGGGATTCATGAGTGCAGGGAGAAGGGCTTGATGCCTTGTGATGGAGAGAGAGAGACCCCTCCCCTGGGATCCTGCAGCTCCAGGCCCCCGTGGGTGGGGTCGGGGTGGGAACCTATGAACATTCTGCAGGGGCCACTGTCTTCTCCACAGTGCTCCCTTCGTGCGTGACCTGGCAGCTGTAGCTCTTGTGGGACTTCCACTGGTCGGACGTCAGGCTCAGGTAGCTGCTGGCTGCATACTTGTTGTTGCTCTGTTTGGAGGGCGTGGTGGTCTCCACTCCCGCATTGACAGCGCTGCCATCTGCCTTCCAGGCCACTTTCACGACTCCCGGGTAGAAGTCACTGATCAGACACACTAGTGTGGCCTTGTTTGCTTGGAGCTCCTCAGAGGAGGGCGGGAACAGAGTGACCGTGGGGGAAGCCTTGGGCTGACCTATGTGGACAGGGAAGGGGGTGAGAGAGGGCAGACAGAACACCGGGGTGTTGTGGAGCCCCTCTCTCTGTCTAAAGTCTCTGGGAGGGTTTACAGTGGGGCCGTCCGGTCCACTCGGGGTTCTCTCCTTCTCTCCTTTCCCCGTCCTTTCCACTCATGCCCTGTGGAGGGCAGATAGCTCTGTACCTTCCTAGGAGCCCTCCCAAGTCACATTTCCCCGGTGTCCTGGTCCAGCCCCTCTCCTCTACAGCCTCGATTTCCCCATATACCCAGGGCAGGCTGTGTTCCTTCTCTGATCTCTGGAGTCTGAGTTCAGAATGTGGCCTTGACCCCTGGATCCCTCCTTTCCACCCCTAGACACCCCCTCCACCACCCACTTTATTCTTCCGGGACCTAGAGCCTCCTCTGAACTGTGGGTCCCCTGCTCAGCCCGTAGGACTGTCCTGGCAGGCAGTGCGTGGGGAGGCCCAAGCCTGCTTTGAACTGGAGCTTTCTACCCTTCACAGGCACCGGGCTCTGCCCCCGCCCGGCCCACTTGGCTCTCCTGGCAAGGAGTGGGCTCCACCTAGACAAGCCTCGGGGCTCCTCTGAGGCTTTGAGGTGTCTCCTGTGTCCACGAGCCCGACTACAGAACCCTTCCCCTCAGCTGGTCTTGTGGCTGCCCCCCTAGACTATGAGACTCAGCAGCCCCCTGGTCCACCCCAGCAGCCTCTGATGACCCCAAACTTCGCGTGGTAGCCATGGAGTTCTCTGCACCCCTCATTTGCTCCCCTGTGGTCATCTCCTGAGTCTAACATGCCCTTTGAGGCAAGCAGGAGTCCGATCCGTGAACGGAGAAACACCAAGCCCCAGAGGTGACGGGGCTCCAGGGACAGACACATCTCTGCCCTCAGACACCCTCTCCTTTCTGGTGACTGTCCTGGGAGGGTCGGATTCTGGTACCTCCCCCAGTCTCACCCGTCCTTCTGTGTCCCCATGTCCTCATGACCCAGCACAGACCACAGAGTTGCAGCCTAGACCCAGAGCTCTGTCTGTGCCCTCCACTCGTCTCCGCTTGGGGTGACCCCTGTGTCACCAGGCCCCCATGTGGCCCTCCCAGGCTGGATAGGCATCGAGTCCTCAGCCTAGACCCTCAGCTGTTCTTGGGGCTACTCCCCGAGACTATGAGACTCAGCAGCCCCCAGGCCCACCCCAGCAGCCTCTGGCCTTGACCCCAGGGGTCACTGGGCAATGTCCCTAAGGCCACTGCAGGGCCCCTCATCAGAGCCAGCCTCTGTCCCTCACTCAGACATCTGCCCTGGAAGAGAGGAGGAGCCCTGACCCTGCCCAATCCCAGCTCAGGCCCCGGGACCAGGCTGCATCCAGCTGTTGGAACCTGAAGGCAGCTGCTCCCACTGTGGGGGCCCTTCCTGCCGGTTACCCCGAGACTAACGCGCCTCCTCCAGGCCCCATGGAGAAAGGTAGGGGTCAGTGCTTAAGGCTGGGAGGACAGATGGAAGGAAGCCCCAGAGAGAGAAAACAGATTTTCCAGGGACAGCAGAGGGTGAGACAGTCTGGGAAAGGTTGAGAGCCACTTACCTAGGACGGTGAGCCGGGTCCCAGCACCGAAGATGTAACACAGTGACTGAGGCTCAGACCAAAACCCCCGGGGCCAGCACCTGGGGTCTGCTCCCTGAGGGCTGGGCTAGAGTAGGAGCCTGCTGGGCATGACGGGCACAGGGTTGCAGTAGGCGGGGCTGGGACCTAGGCATGAGGCAGGGGGGTGGCCAGTCCCCCAGAGGTTTCCCCATGCCTGTCCCCTGTCTAAGGCAAGTGCCACCCACAGCTTTGGAGTCAACCCAGTGTGTGTCCTTCCTCTCTGAGGCTGTCAGTGCTGATGACAACACTGGGACCAATAGGTCCCAGCAACTCCCAGAGTGACACATCCCCTCCTGTGCAGTGTGGCAGAGGAGTGCTGAGTTGGCTTCGACCCGTCCAACCTCGTCTGACCTCATTTAAAGGGCCTCTGAGTCCCCCACATGAGTGTCCCCAGTCAAGCTAGGCTGGCTTTCTCCCTATATTGAGAACACTGGGTCATTCCTGACTCAAGTGGATAGTCCTCTGCTTTCTACCCATGGAGACGCAGTTCAGTCCCACTTTGTGCTTGAAGCTTTTTCTGATCTCTCAGATCATTCTTTCCATCTACCCATCCATTCAATTGTCCATCCAGTTGTTCATCTGTTCATCTGTTTGTCCATCCATATATCACCTATACATCCGTCCATCCATCCATGCATCTGTCCACTCATTCATCCAACAACAGCTCCCAAGCATCCATATGTGTCAGGTACTGTTTTTATGCTGGGACATGGCAGGGTCGCCTGGCTCTCAGCCTCATCTCTCCCTCAAATCTCTCTGGTTAAGGCCAACAGTGCTTTGTCCCAGTTCAGTCTGTAGTTCTTCCCCAGTCCCCTTAGGTCTCTGCAAGAAGTTCTTTCTAGTCACTCTCTCCTCCTTGGTATCGGAGACTGCCCCCTTTCCTCCTCGGCTTCCTTTTCTCTCAGGCCCATGCCCAACTGCTGACTCCCGGATCCCCATCCTGGGTTCTGCTCTCTGTATTCTCCTAATTTTCTCTGCATCTGACCCTCATTGTGCACACTCACAACTGTCCAGGGATCTTAGATCCCTATTTCCAGCCCTTACCTCTCTTCTTGGCTCCAGATTCACATATATTCTGCCTCCTCAACTTACGTCTGCTTGGATGCTCTGTAGACACCTCCAACTCAATAGATCCCAACTAAACTTATTTCCATATAACGTTGCTCCTCCACAGAGTCCTCACTTCAGCAAGTTACTCTTCAAGCCAGAGGCATGGGGACATTGCAGAATGCCTTCCCCTCATTGTATTGCTCTCTGTCCTAGACATCCTAGCATGACACAAGATACCATTAACATCCCCCAGAGAAAAAGAAAAACACCGAGGTCACAGGCTAAGAGTTCATGATGGCGAGAATCCTCAGACTTTTCCAAATCTGATTTTATTTCCCATGGGAATTTATTTACATTGCAAGATACCCATTGTGACGGGGCCAGCAATTTTCATCTCAGCAGCAGGTTGTATTTAATACATTTGTATTTAAGACGTGTGCAGAAGATTTTTGAAACAATTTAATATAATAGTAATATAAATTTAACACTTGTTTCTCATATAAAGAAAGCAAACATTTAGCATTTTATTAAGTTACTGAAGAAAACTTTTTTAACGAAGAATATCTGCCCAAATTTACTGCAACCTTCATATTTAAAGGCAAAACATTTGAAGAGTCAGAAACAAGGCAAGGTTGTCTAGTCTCACTTTTATTATTCAGCATATTCCATAGATTCTAGCCAATGAAATGACATAAAAGGGGGAGAAGAGGATGTATAAATATTAGGGAAAAAGAGAGAAAATTGTTTTTGGCAAATGGTGTGATAGTTGACTAAACACACACACATACACACACACACACACACACACACACACACACACACACACACACAGAGAATCAGCTGAAGAACTGCTGGAATTAATACAAGAGTTAAAGTGGCTGGATACAAGAGTAACATACAGAAGTTAACAGGGTTCCTTGCTATAGAAACAGTAATCATTTAGGATATGAAATTGGGAAAAAATTTGTAACCTCAATAAAATTATATTTACAAATGCTTTATGAATAAAAAACAAAGTGTGCAAGATTTGCATGAATAAAATATTAAACCACTTCTCTGAGTGAATGGAGAGTACGTCATGTCTCTGGACAAAAACACCACTGAGCATTATAAATATAGCAGTTCTCAAATTAATCCCATATTCTGTGATATTTCAAACATAACACCAAAAGAATGATTTTTGAAAATTAGGGAACCGATTCTGCAGTCTAACTCTTAAGAACAACGGGTAATAGACATGACTATTTTGAGAAAAAGTAATGATGACAGGTTCTTTCCCTACTAGATACCGAACATACTATAAAGCTAAAATAATCAAAACAGTTTGGGTGCGGGAATAGATCAATAAACCAAGAGAACCACAGAAAGAATGTAACAAATCAGTAATGTAGTAGTTGAGGAAAGCTGCATTTATATTCAACAAAGGTGTGATGATTGACTTTCCTATTTGGAAGATAAGGTTTTATTCCTACATCCACAAAAATAAACTCCAGGTGAAGTAAAGAAAAAGAAAACCAATAAAACACCAATACACCAAAAGTACCACAATAAGATAGAAAAATGACTTTATAATACTGAAATAAAGACAACTTCCTACACATGGTGGAGGTCACAGAAACCATAAAGAAAAGGTTAAACCAGTTCGACACATAAAAATTTACGACAGTTTTATAGTAGGAGACCCCATAAACAAAAGACCCGTAAAACAGACCAGGGAAAATTATTTACAATGCATATATTAAACAAGTGGCTAAAATCCCAGATATATCCCAATATATTATAGATATATAAAAAGGTGAAAACAACTGAATGGAAAAGCGGGCAATATGGTGACCACAGATGAAATGAAACCAATAAATAAAAATATAAAAAATAAATTTCACCAGTGATAAAATACACAATAAAACAATAAACACATTCAATTTTGCATTGTTGGCAAGAATGTATGAGAGAAGACACTACCACTCACCAGAGTGAGTGGACACAGACTTTTGGAAGCACCACCTATAACATTTCAAAAGTACGTCCTCTGATCCAGCAATTCCACTTTTAGGCATCTATCCTGGGGAGATATATAAGTGCACTTTGCGCACACACACACACACACACACAGGAATTTCCACTGCAGCATCATTTGTCATTTAGATTTTTTAGTGGAAATAAATCTTGGCTCATCTAAACTTTGCTTATAAAGCAAAGTTTATAAGCAGTGGATGTGGTTAATCCATATGGACTGATACAGAAAGTGTCAATAATAGATTAAAAGTTGGTAATATGCAGAATATGGCTCTATTTTTGCAAAATAAAATCCCAACACCAACTCTGTGTGTGTGTGTGTGTGTGTGTGTGTGTGTGTGTGTGTGTATTTTCAGGGACACATACAACACAGGAGAAGTTCTGGAAGCATATTGACCAACCTGACAGTGGCTATCTCTGGGAAGAGGTGGGAGATGGTAAGAAGAAGCGCTGTTTTTACTTTATATACTTCTCTGCTTAATCTTTTTTTTTTTTTGCAAGAAAGAGTAATGTACAAAAGTCATTATGTTTTGTAACGTACTCATTGCAAAAAGAGTAATGTATATGAGTACATTACTCTTGTATTAAAAATGGTATTAGAAGAAATGTCTCTTTTTGTGAACAACATCACAAAACCAGAAAATTATAAAGCCACATTAAAATTAGGGGAAATCCCACCAGCCAGCCAGACACATCATTGACATTTTTCTATATTTTCAGACAGGTTTTTGAAAAGGTATATATACTTTAAAAACACAGTTGGGCCAGGTGCAGTGGCTCACACCTGTAATTCCAGCACAGGGGAAGTTGAGGCGGAAGGATTGCTTGAGCCTAGGAATTTGAGACAGGCCTCAGCAACATAGTGAAGCTCTTTCTCTAAAATAATAATAATCCTAATAAAAATTCGCCAGGTGTAGTGGCCTGCAGCTGTAGTCCTAGCTACTCAGGAGGCTGAGGCTCGAGGATCATTTGAGCCCTGGATGTTGAGGCTGCAGTGAGCTGTGGCCATGCCACTGTACTCCAGCCTGGGCAACAGAGCAGGACTCTGTTTCAAAACAACAACAGCAACAACAACTGCCAAATACAATTGCGTTTTTTTCACACCCTTTCAGATATTTGGGTTATTTCTAGTTTTCTCCCATCATTAATAATGCTAAGCTAACACACCCTTGTTATAAACATTTGGTTACAGCTTTGATTATTCCCCTCCCCGCCACACCCTTAGGATAAATTCCTAGAAGTGGAATTGCCCAATTTAGATAAATACACTCTGTTTTTTGACTCGCTGCCTATTACTAAAATGGTTATACATTTCAACGCCCATAGACAGTCCCCGAGAGTGTCTGCTCCCCTCTGCTCATCCCTCACTTCAGCTTCATGCTCCCATTTCATAGGAAACTGGGCACCTGGGTGCTCTGGATCTGTGTGTCCTCCCCACCCCACGACTTCCTCCAGGCTCCCCACCTACCCTGGACCTGGCCATCACCCCCTCTCCTCTCTCCTCTCTCCTTTGCATTATTGGCAAGGAGCCTCCTATCCAGTGCTAATTTTTCCAAAAACACAAATCTGACTCTGATAATCAGTTTCCTATCTAAATCCATCCAAGGACTCGTCCTGGACTCTGGGGATGGGGCACGGATCCTATGGTCTTCCTTCCTCCCCTTCCCAGTCACCCAGGAGCTCCCAGCTTCATCCTGTGCTCTCCTCTCCTCTGACGCTGCTCTGTCTTTTGGGGGCACCCATCACCAGTCAGTGCCCCTTGATCTGTGAGACCAGCCTGGGCATCATCCCAGAGGGAGCTCTCCTCTCCCTTTATTGCTCCAAACATGGGCCTGTTCCGATGACTGGACAGCTCCCCTCGGTTCAGCCCACCTTCCCTGTGTCCCTGAGCCTGGCCCCAGCAAGCATTTATGTGCAAGTCGGTGAATGAACAGCTTTGGGGGAGACCAAGCCAAGCCCTTGCTGCCTTCTCCAGGGAATGGCCCCTGCCCTCACAGGGCAGGAGGCACATGGGCAGAGAGGAGGAGGAGGAGGAGGAAAAAGAACAGGCCTGGGCATCCTGTGGGGACAGTGACCATCACCCCCTGTGGACGTCCTGTCTTTGCCTCTGTTCCTGCCCTACCCAGAGGACTAGGACTAGGTAATTGAGGCACTGACCCTGGTGCAAAATTTAAGTAGGGTTAGAAAACCCAGAAATCAAGAAAAATAATATCTTAATATGATATTAAAAACAATAATTCAAACAAATCTGTGATGGACCAAATATCAACCCATTAGTTAAAGCCAGTGTCTGCCCAGGCCTCTCTTAGGGGTTAACCTTCCTCCTCACTCCTCTGGCTTGTCTCCCCTTGGTCACCTTTCCCAGCTCTGCCGCAGGACCCCCACATTCCCTGAAATCTCTCGCTCCTTACCTGCCCCACAGGCTCTGTAGGCTGGATCGGCTGCTTCCAACTGAGGCTCCAGGGTCTGGGTCCCTGCTCTGCGGTGCAGCCATTGGGTGCAGCAGGCCATGGGCGACCATGGCCAGACCCAGCAGCAGCAGGGGCCAGCACTGCCTGGGACGAGGACCCAGCTCCTCAGGGGTCTCACGACCCACTTGGTCTGTCTTGGGTCTCATTGGCCCTCAGGGTCAGGGGCACCTCTGACCCGATTTGCAGCATGGGCTCCCTGGAAGGCCTTGCCCAGGTCCCTCTCGCCAGCAGGGCTGTTACAGTGCGCCCCAGTCTGTTGGCTCTGTCCTCTCCCTGGACTGGCTCTGGTCCCTGTCCCTAGCCCAGGCCCTTCGTCCATGGCTGTTACCCCTGGGAATCTCTCCCAGAGGGGCCTCTACCAACTGCCCTGATGCGGTCACAATCCAGGGCTCAACTGCCTCCCACCGCAGCCGCCTGCCTGGCCCCGCCCCTGGGGCCCTGGGCGGTGCACACCTGACTCACTTCCCTTCCCTGTTTCCCAAAGGGCAGCCTGGGTCTGTGGAGCATGTCCCTAGGGCCTAGAGAGCTGCCCAGCAGGAGTCCCCAAGGGCTTGAGCTCAGGGTGTTGGGGCTGGGGCTGGAGCTGTGGCTTCTTTTCTGATCAGTCCTCCAGGCTGCGTGACTACACACTGCACTTCAGCCAGTTGGGACCAGCCCTTTCTTGGCTAGGTTAAGCCCGGCCAGCTACCCTGTGGCCCTTTCTTGAGTCGAGCAAGAGCCCTGCAGGGAGTGATTCTATATCCTTCAGGCAAGGAAGAGTTGTGAAATCATAAATGTGGAGTCTATCCAGACCTAGGTTACCCCTGGGCCTCTGTTTCCTTATCTGTAAAACTGGGAGAGTTCCTCTGCAGCATGAAGGTTGTGAGGGTTAAAGAAACTATGTGTTTGCTAAGCACTCAGTGGGTGTTGAACAAATCCTGGTTCTCATTTTGTTGTTCCTTACTTTGGGATTCAGAACAACGTGTGGGGCATCATTGAGGCAAGTGTCTCTGTTTTACAGGTGAGAAAATTACCATCCAGAGAACATGAATGCAGGGCCCAATGTCATTCCTTGAGTAGGGAGCAAGCTGCGCTAGGATCTAGGAAGGGGCTCGTCCCCTGTATTTCTATTCATCTGTCCACCTAGAATACTCGTGTCTGGCTCCATTCAGCAGTGGTGGAGGAGGAGAGGGCTGGCGGTTGCTTTGAGTTGGGGTCCTTTTTGACTATGATATGGGAATATGATGTATAATACAGTAATAATAGCAATGCTCTTTAGCCCTGGTGCTTTACAAGCACTAATCCTGGCAGCTAAAATTATCTACTGTCCCCCACATTTGAAGATGAGGAAATGCTGCTCAGGCTGATTCCCTACTTTTTTAATGTCACAGGGCCAAGAGGTGGTAGGGCTGGAGTCGGAATCTGAGGCCTGGTCCTTGCATGACACTTTCCTGATGATGACATAGCTCTCCGGGTCTAGGTGGTAACACACTGCTTGGTGCATGGGAAAACCCAGAGCTCATCACAAAGGAGTTGCTCAATTAAACATGGACTAAATCTGGTTGAATAAACCTCTTTTGCTTCATGTGGCCCCTTGTGTCATTAGCATTCCTTTACCCCCCATTCACCGCTGCCATCTTTTCTGTTGCCCCTGAGAACCTAGTATAAAAATGTTTGAGGAGATCTTCAGGACCCCATACTCCGGTGAGAAAGGCCCCTGCTCCGTCACTTACAGAACTGCAGTGAGGGTCTGCCCTCTTGCTTTCCAGTTACTTTTTCTGCCACAAAATCTTTAAAAATATCTGCTCAAGTTCGGATCTGCAGCCCCCTAGGGCTGTCAATGTTTTGTTTTAGCAACTCTCAGAGGAGCCTTGTAGGACTTCCTAAAGTGAATTTCCTGGGAGGCCCCTTTGAGAATTGCTTGGTTCATATTTTGAGTCAGATACTCCTTAACTTCCCTCATACATTTGGTGACAATCAAGCCAGACATTTTTGAGGGCTATGGTAACAGATAAATTGCCCGAGACTTCATTTCTTTCATTAAAGTTGATGGTTGTTAGGAGACAGTGGCCTGCTATGGATCTCTGCATTTCTGCATGTTTCTCGGGCAAAGGCACTGATTGCCTTTCTTGTGGATTATCTTTGCAAGGATGTTTGTAGGGTGAACAACCTTGGAAGGTACAGAGAGTGCCTCTCTTTGGAGCAAAAGGCAGATATGCTTACTGTAAAGTATAAAATGTTTAAGATCCCTGAGCTCTGGCACGCAGATGTCACCTGGCCTTCTTTGCATCACCTTGTGGAACTGGTGCAAGACAATGCTGATACCTTGGCAACTGCTCTTGCTGTGAAAGACAGACTGTCCATTGTTTCTGACCCAGGAATCTTGTATCTTCTGCCAGCATCCATGACACTGTGGCAGGCTTACATTTTAGTCTGCAAATAGGATGAAGTCTCAGACCCTTCACAGTTCTTGAAGGTGATGATAATGAGGAGGAGGAGGAAGAAAGAGATGAAGTTGAGGATGGTGATCATGACTTAATGGTTCGACTCATCGAATCAGTTTTCAAAGATCTCCAGGCTGGATCTTTATATGTATTGCTTGGGCAACTTTTGAGGCCCAGGCGCCTGGGGGCTGGATTATACAAATAATCACCACACATCCCTGTCCTTGGAGATAGGCAAGGCACTGATCTGTAACGTTGTGTAGGTGCCCTAACAGACATCATTCAGGGCACAAGGGAGGGCCCTAGGAAACCCCTGGTCCAGCACACCACCTCCTCCACCGGGGAGCTTGGCCTGTTCCTGCCTCTGTTCTTGGGCTCTTTGTGTTATGGGGGCTGGGGAAGGGTCTACCCTGAGGGTCTAGGCTGAAGCTGCTCCCTCCCAGGCCCTCTGTGGGTATGACACTTACCCACTGCTCAGGACCCAGAAGCTGTGGCTCCTTCCAGGGAAAGTCCCAGGTCTTGGGGATAAAGAGGGGCTGTCCCTAAATGTAGCATCCCCAGCTGCTGCCCCTACCCCCACCCCTGCACCTGCTGTGGCCTCTGGGCAGACGTCGCCACCGCAGACCACATCCTCCTATGGTGGTTGTAGTCGGAAATCCGAGTCTGGCCGGGGGCCCTAGAGGACTGCACTAGGCCTCCCCAGCAGGTGCAGCTGCAGCTCTGGCCACCCAGGCCTGCCCCCTGCCCTCCTGGACTGAGATGTGGAAGGGCTGGATCCAGGCCTGGGCAGAGGAGGTCAAGTCCAGCTGTCCTGCTTGGTGGACCCCCTGCTCAGGGTCTATGGTGCCTCTGCAGAGCCCTCTGGGTCCCGCCCTGGCCCTTCTCTCTCAAAGCAGAGGGGTGTACCCCATCCAGTTGCTTCTACTCTGCTCCATGTCTGAGGGTGTCCCCCACCTTGGCCTCCTGCTGGTCAGTCCCCTGCCCAGTCTGCAGCACCCACGTCCCAGAAACTCCACCTGCAAGCACTGCAGACTCCTCTCTCCCAGGTCCAGGGATCCCCAGCTCCCCACTCCCCACCATCCCTAAATTCAAGCTGGCTGGTCTTTCTTGTCTCATCTTGAGCTTCTCACTGTTGGGATCTGGGAGAGTCTGAGGCACAGGATGACAAGTATTGGCTGAGGAAGTGACAAAGGTTCTGGATCTCTGAGTCCCTAGAGGTAGAAGCTGGCTCTGCAGCTCCTGATCCCCCTCTGAGGAGTCCTCAGGAACCCCAAAGACCCCAGCTCCTCTGGTGATCCTGGGTTGCAGCCTCCACCCCAGCTCTCCTCCAGGAAATGGGAGAGATCCCTGCTCCCTTTGTAGATGTCACAGAGTAGACTTGTCAACCTGGCAGGGAGGCCTTCTAGCTCCTTCTACTGATGTGGAAACAGAGGCTCAGAGAGGGAGAGTTTCTTGCCTGAGGCACACAGTGACTTGGTGTAAAGACTGCACCCCGGGACTTACTAATAGCAATTAGAGACCTGGGAGGACCAGACTTTTTGGACATGGGGTGGAGCCAGCCTGGAACTGGAGGGTGGAGTTTTGGGAGGTTTCTGTTCTTTAACCTCCACCAGCTGCCTGGAGTGCAGCTAGAAGGGGAGAGTCCAGTAGGGGGCAGAAGAGACCAGGAGTAGAAGCCTGAGCACTAACCAACTGGAGCTCTTCAGAAGAGGAAGGTGGAGACCCAGGGGAGGGCTCTGGTGGCCGGGCAGAAGGGGGTGCAGGAGCCTGACTCTGGGTTTGCATTCCCGTGGTCACTCACTCACCTGTGGGACTGTGGGTAGGACCAAGAGGGAAACCACTGAGACAAGTGAGTCAGATCCTGAAATTTTGTGCATTGTGGGTTTTTTGGGCGTTAATTTTGATTTTTGAAAATATTGCATTAAATATTATTGATCTGGGTCACTACGTTTTTGGATGCTCTTTTAACTTTTGCATTCAAGGCGAATGAATGATGGCTGTCACTTGGAACTCCAGGAAACCAGTCTCTGGAGACATGCACATAGAGGCTGTATATCTGACATACAATCGTAGAGCCCTGAGTCCCGGCTTGAGAATATCATACCTCCAGCAGTGAAGGGGCCAACTGTCCCACTCAACACTGTGTCCCCAGTCACCTGACGTGGCACCTGGCACATAGTGGGCCCTTCATGAGTATTTCTTGACCAAATGAATAAATGGACCAGGATTCAACACCAGGCCTGTCTAACCAGAACCTCTTCCCTCTACACCCAGGCACCTGCAGCTTGGGAAGACCCTCAGGGTTGGACTCACTCATACCTCAGATGACCCCCAACTCTTCCCTCTGCCACCTCCTAGGGAAGGGGCTGTAGAGCATCAACTCACTGTGACATCATCTACCCCTGATACAGGCCCCGAGGCCCGAAATCTAGGTGACACTTAGAACTTTCTAGGTCTCTCTCCCCTGCCTGGTACGAGGAGTACTCCAGGCACATCAACCACTGGTGTCCAGAGAGGGGAATCTCTGTCCTTGTTGTCCCTGAAGTCATTTTTCACAACTGGAAACATCTTCTGTCGGGACCGAGCAATAAGACCCCTGAAGTCACTCTGACCCCCGCTTAAGGGGTCCGTAGGAGCCTTGAACACTGCAGCTCCTCTGATGATCATGGGTTGCAGCCTCCACCCCAGCTCTCCTCCAGGAAATAGGAGAGGTTCCTGCTCTCTCTCTAGATGTCATGGACTGGCCCACCTGGCAGGGGGTCTTCTAGCTCCCACTACTGATGAGGAAACAGAGGCTCAGAGAGAGAGAGAGTGAGTTCCAGGGCCCTCACTACAGCCCTGGAAAATGCCCGTCGCTGATTCTGGTGGGCAGACTAGCTGAGGCACAGGGAGTTTAGAAGCAAATCTAGTGGAAGTGAATGGGCAAAGGGAACTAGGATTTCAGACTCCCAGCCTGGATGTTGGAGTTGGCCAGGGAGATGCAGTCAA